GGCGAAAGGAACTGGGTGCTTTTACCCCACATGGCGGGATGGCTGCGGGGACGGTGGGGACGGTGACAGGCTGGCCACTAGAGGAGGCTGGCAGGCTGCAGTGCACGGGCTGCGCTCGCCAAGGTCAGAGCCCCATCCCCTCAGAGGACGCTTACCTCCGAGCCGTAGGTCTGGGCCACATGGCACAGCATGAGGAAAGAGATGTCGAAGAGCAGGGCCCGAACCGAGGCTGCTTTGGCTGAGGGAGGAGAAACAAAGACCTTGGGGATCTCCAGCCTCGGCACAAGGAGGCAGGCAGGAGCCCTGTGAGCTCGGGGGCCGGGACCCTGCTTCCTCCAGGCAGCTTTTCTAACCCCCCAAGTGCTTGTGTGCGAACAAGGGCTCCAAGGGATGCGCCAAGTGCCTCCCTCCACCCCGTCTGCCTCTGCTTGAGCCCCGAAAGCAGCTTTGGCCTCCCGTTCGGCAGCCCCAGCCCATCCCTGGGCTCCCCCCGCGCCACGGAAGGTCAGAGCACTCAGCAAGTTTCATCACACGCAAATGCAGTCAGAGTCCTTATCTCGGGCTCTGTGCTGACACATCACCCCTTCCAGGGAGGGAGCCGGGGCAGGGCCGGCCCCGAGAGGCCCCGCGGGCTGGTCCGGGGAGAAGGAGCTCTTCCCCTGCAAGCAGGGAACACCCCACATTCGGGATGGACACGCACGTGCCACACGTGAGGGCAGCAGGTCCCCGGGAACCCAGATCCCCACTGGCAACCAGCCATGTGCCCCTGTGCCGGGCCCCCTGCCGGCAGCCCCCAGCCAGGCCCGGCACAACTCGGCTCGCTCTGGCGCCGCAGCCAGTCCCAGCTTAATCCAGCCGGGCCCCGCAGCATCCCAGCACGTGGCAGCGGGGGGAGCACAGCTCGAACCACCCCACACACGGGCACGCACGCACTTACAGCCTTCTCCGCTGATGTGCTTCGTGAATTCGTTCAGCCTAGAGGGGGCAGAGAGCCGCAGTGAAGCGTTATCATCACGTGAAACAAGCCTCTTCCCATCCCCAAGGCAGGCGGGGGGCTGCCCCTGCCTGCAGACCCCTCGCCGCACCCCATCCCAGCGCCCAGCTCTGTGCCCCCCATGGAGGAGCGGGGCGGGCAGGGACCGAAGTGGGGCCCGGCTCTGCAGACACCCTCCGGCACAGCAGGGGTGAGCCGCCTCCTCCCTCTGTTCCCCTGCAGCAAAACAGGTCCAGCGACGCTGCTTTTCCCCACACCCACTTGGCCCGGCATTTGAGTGCATCCTCTCCAGAGCCGGCTCTGCCCGGCTGCGTGGGGATTTCTGAGCACGGCCCTCTCCATATCGCAGCGGCACGAACCCCCAAATGGAGCCAGCCCGGGCTGGCGTGGTTCGAGCTGCCCCAGGCCTCCCTGCTCAAGGAAACACATCACGCAGCCCCACGCGTGCTGGTGCATGTGCTCTAACCAGGACACGGGCGTCTGGGGACTGAAGGCGCACACACAGCGAGCGCCCTGGATCTGAGGCCGTCCCGGCGCTTTCAGTTTAATACCCTTAAACCAACCTGACTTCGATTCTCTGCCCCGTTCAAGCAGAAGTGAAGGAGATGGGGTGCTGCGGGGTGCAGTCTCCCTGAGATCCCAGCCCTCCCCAGGGCTCTGCTGGATCCAGTGCTGCACAGACACTGGGCCAGAGGCACATCCAGCCCCCTCTCACGGAGAACTTGGGGGGCTGCCCGCTCACCCCAGCCCCGCTGGTCACCAAGGACAGCGTGGTCCAGGTGGACACTCACTTGATGAACTTCCGAGCAAAGGACTTCAGCTTGCCCGTCGCTGCTGCCGCTGCCAGCAGCAAGTCCAGGCTCTTTCCAGACAGCATGTGACCCAAGACCCCCAGCAAGCCCTCGGGGGACTTGGAGTGATCCGCATCCATGGTCTACAAAAAAAAAAAAAACAACAGAGCAAAGAGAAGTCACGGGGAATGTGTGCTACAGAACAGCAGTAAAACTCCAGCCACGGGGGCAGAGTTGATCGGCTGCCAGAGCTGTCCTTTGAGGCCTCAGTGAGCAGGGACCCGCAGGGCTTGGGCGGTTGGGGATGGAGCCCTCCGTGCCCCAGGCACCGCAGGGCACGGCAGCGCAGGGAAGAGCCGCAGCGCACCGGGGCAGCACAACTGGCAGCAACACATCCTCTAGTGCTCAGCAGCAGTGAGGCAACCACAGTGACGCAGGGATGGGGGTAGCCCCCGGGGACCGGGGGAGAGGCATGCGGGGAAGCGGCTGAGAGCAGGACAGAGCTGGCTGGGCTCAGGCTGCTGCCACTGACAACAACGTGCTGGCTGACAGCTCCTCCGGCTTCCTGGGAAGGCGCAGGGGAGCTCCTGCTCTCCATGGCAGAGTGGCAAGGCTGGGAGCGATTCCTCCATTCCTCCACCTCAGCGCAGGGGGAGATCGGGCACCTCCAAACCACCCTGGCTGCCTGGTGAGACCTGTGCTGCTGGAAATTGGCTCCGGGGCCGAGACCAGCCTGCCCAGCACGGATGCAGGAGGGGACTCACCTTCAGGATGTTGGTGACAGTCGGCTCGGCCCTCAGGATGAGCCCCGGGTTTGGCTGGATGTTGGCGTTTTCTGCCGATTTCAGGCGCGGAGCGTGTTCTCTGTCCGCCGTCCTGGGGGATCCGCAAAGAAGGGCCAGTGAGCTGGAATTCGTCACCCTGCCTCCCTCCTCCCCACGCTCAGCCACCTCCCACCCACCTCCACCATCAGCACCCTCAAGGGAAGGCCACCACCTCAGGCCACCACCAGCTACCACTCCAAGAGGACAGACTTTGACTGTACTCAACCTGTCACTGAAAGCAAAGCCTCGTCCCTCCAGGCCACAGTGTCCCAGCTGCAGGACAGCCAGCAGCATCACAGCTGGTCCTTTATGCTCCCCCCCCCCCCAAGAAGGACAGCAAGACGAGGTGCTCCAACCCCACTTGGTTACCCAGACTTTTGAGGGGGCTGTACCGTTTGGTAATCAGGTTGGTCATGTTGGCCTCCGAAAGCAGCCCCTGCTTGCTGCACTCCTGCAGGAGCAGACTCGTGCAGTCGCAGCTGAAAGAGAGAGGAGAGCGCTAGCCCGAGGGACAGCATTCCTGGTGCCCCAGGCAGTGCCGCAGGGCAGGGGGACTCCTGGGTTGCCCTCCTGGCCCTGCTCCCACCCCTCTGAGGATGCTGCAGGGCCAAAAGCAGCTCCAGATATCACACAGCACCGCCAACACGTCAATCAGCTGTCAGACACTCACTGCCTTGCTCGTTTGGCAGCGTCAGGTCCTCAGAAAGAAGGAATTGGATCAGAAACTAAAAAAGCCTTGCCAGGAGCTGCCCCAGCACCCCGTACCGTGGCTCCCTGCAGAGAGGACAGGGTGGTTGTGGCGCGGACTGGCCACAGGCTCACAGTGCTGCAGGTCAG